CTAATAATAGTAATAATAATAATAATAATAATAATAATATTACTACTAGTTATTACATTATCATCATTATTAATTATATTATATTATAATTAAACTCAATAATTTATCAAATGGTTTCCTATACTTTAAGAACATCCACCCACGCTCTCAGACCCACTCCCCCATAAAGGCGCACCAACAATTCACAAATTATTAATTTAAAAAGAACGAGCATTACAGACACCGCATTTCATTGGTCCTTATCAGATTTTACAGAGGATAAGAGAGGTAGCCTATCGTGTTGCTTTGCCGCTGTCGCTTGCTAATCTCCATGACGTGTTCCATGTATCTCAGTTGAGGAAATACATTGAGGATCCTTCTCATGTAGTCCAAGTAGATGATGTGCAGGTGAGAGATAATCTGACTGTGGAGACATCACTTATACGGATAGAGGATCGAGAGTTCAAGAAACTTCGAGGCAAAGAGATTGCTTTGGTAAAGGTCGCTTGGGGAGGACCGGCTGGTGGAAATGTGACTTTGGGAACTTGAGAGCCAGATGAGGGAGTCGTATCCCGAGTTGTTTGAATCAGGTAACATTTTCAAGGACGAAAATTCCTAAAGTGGGGGAGGGTTGTAACAGCCCAATTTTTCAATAATTAATTATTCATATTAATTAATTGATTTATTTGGATGATTAATTAAATGAATTGGTAGATATTTTGAGAGAAGAAAATATTGGAGAGAATTAGAAGGGAAAGACATATAAGAGGAAAAGTGGAAAGAAAAGGAAAGATAGAAACATAAGAGAAAGAGGAAGAGGAGAAAAGAGAAGGAAAAAGAGGAAAACTTGGATTCTTCAAGAACAACTTTCAACTTTCGGTTAATCAAGGTAAGAGTGTGAAATGTTGTTATCCTATCAATGTTTATGATTATGTATGTGTGTGTTTGGATTTGTTTAGATGTTTTCATCTTTTTCCATTCTAGGGCAGAAATGGATTTAATCGATAGAGTCGATGTTGGAACGGTTAGAATCGGGAATAAATGGCGTAGTTTAGTCGGGTAATGTTGGGTTAAGATTACTGGAGTTGATTGGAATTGAATCGGTTGATTTTGGGAGGATTGGACGATTTTGGACAGTTTGGGGTTCTGAGTTCACAGGTTCACTAGCGCTCGCTAGGTGAACAGGAAGTGAAGGTTCTCCAGGCGAAGCCCAACGAGTGGGAAGCGAACCATTACAGTGGCTAAACTCAGTCTTCGCTGGTATGTTCGCAAGGCGAAGGAGGTGGCGAGAGGGTTCGCCAGGAGAAGCCCAGCGAATGAGGTAGCGAATACTTCCAGTAGCTACTGTCTGCCTTCGCCAGTGAGTTCGCCAGGCGAGTGAAGCAGCGAGCATTCGCCAGATGCTTCACCAGGCGAAGGTCAGCGAATGTGACAATATTTTTCATTTCTTGTGTTTTCCATCCAATGTTGATTGTGTGGTTTGATTATGTTTAGTCCTTATCTGAAATGAATAGTTGTGTACTATTGTGATAAGATGTGATGTGGGTAGCCGTATGGTGTGAATCCTAGATTGTGAATTGTGAAGTGTGAAATGTGGTCGTTTGGCAATTATGTGCATTGTTTGAATTGAATGAAAATGCACGATGATTGTGATTGAGTTCGTTGCCGTTGGCACGATGTTATTAATAATGCATGAGAACATATTGCGAATATGTGTGCATTGCTTGTAATTGTATGTGAAGGATACATGAGAACATATTAGTGAATATGTGTGCATTTCTTGATAATATAGTGATGATGATTTAAAGTGTGAATACTTTGATTATGTGAAATATGTTGTGTGTGCAATCATGTTATAATTCTTGTGTGATGAATTATTGAGAATGCATGAGATTAAGATGCGAGAACGGTCTTAAGTGCATTTGGTTGTTGATTGCATATGCATCATTTAGTCAAGAGGCAATGCTTGCTAGTTTCGTGGAGACTAGTGACTTGTCCCAAACCTAGAAGAGTGGGTTTGAAAGCTTATAGGACGGACTTTTGTTGTTATCGGTCTAGAGGACGGACCCGGTTTAAATGTAAAAACTGAAAAATGATAACAAGTGTTGGTACCACATGGCATGAGTTGCATTGAGTCACATAGCATAGAGATAAATGTTGTGTGAATGTATGCATATGTGTATATTGTGTGAATTGATGAGGATTATGGATGTGTGCATGATAAATATGCTTAATGATGATTCCATATTTGTCTATATATATACATATATTGTGATGTATATGATGATGATAATGAATTGTGGTGAGAAATGTGGAATATGTGTATTCTATGCTTGTGTATATATATTTGATTATATGCATTGATTATTATGATAATATTTCTCACCCTTCTGCTGTTTTATAATGCTCTATGAGGCATTGCAGATTAGGTTTTGCTGGAGGTCTTTTGTGAAGTATAACTTTATTCTTTTGGTCGGTTAAGCTCTGATATGTAGCACCGGGTAGTTAGGATTGTATAGCATTCTTTTGAGATACATTTGTATATGTATCTGACGACAAATGTTTATGTAAACACGAATGATGTGATGAAACAAACTGAATGATATGTATTTATATGATTACATGTTTTAAGTGATTCAATGTTTAGGTTTTCCGCTTTAATTCTAAATATGGAGATGTGGGTGTAAGGACTAAGTTCCTCTGTTGAAGCTACCCCACTGTTACATGTCTTTTATAGAGCATGTGTTGTATGTTATTTTGTGCATGATGTGGCATACTTCTTTTATACCATGTTTCAAATTTACTCTGATGAAATTTTATTATGTGATTTATTTGTTTAATTGGGGGTATAGAAAGGGGGTGTTACAGTATGACTTTGCTTAAACATTGAAGGCGCTGGAAGATGATTTTGGTGCAATCGAAGTATTGAACTGATCCAAGACTAAGGGGAAGGTTGACATATATATATATATATATATATATATATATATATATATATATATATATATATATATATATATATATATATATATATATATATATATATATATATATATATATATATATATATATATATATATATATATATATATATATATATATATATATATATATATATATATATATATATATATATATATATATATATATATATATATATATATATATATATATATATATATATATATATATATAGTCAACACTATTGAAGAACCATATTTAGTTGTTGCCCTACCTGAAACATAATCTGAGAATTATAGGGACCAGCTTGTTGAGGAAAATGTGGAGGGTTGTGGTGACCAGCATGTTGAGGACAATGTGCAGGATCGTGGGGACCAACCTGTTGAGGAAAATGCGGAGGGCTATGTGAACCAAGATGAGGAACAAAATGTGGATGCGTGTGGGGACCAGCATGAGGAACAAAATATGGAGGAATATATGGACCAAAGCGGGGATCAGCCTGTAGAAGAAAATGTGGATCAAAGTGTGGACCATCATGAGGAACAGAATGAGGCCCAACCTGATGATAGTGATGAAAGTGCATTAGGGGAAGGTGATTTTGTTGACTCGCGTGATGAGGTTTTAAATGATGGATTTGCTGAAGTATTGGTAGGAGAATGAGTGTTACCTGCAGGCCAAAGTGGTCAACCTAATGTTGATATACTAGGTGATGACACAACTCCTAATATAAAAAGGAAAGGAGGACAATCAAAGAAGAAGTCAAAAGTCAGTTCCAAAAAGCACAAAGGCAGACCTAAGAAAAAAGGTGTGGATGAAAGAAGTTCAGTTCCCATCAAAGTGATAAAGCATCAAGTGATGAAGATGTCATTGATCTTGGAGTTAGGGAAAGAAACACAGCTAAGAAAGTTTGTCGTGGTTTGTCAGATTATGAGTATGCAATTGAGGACTTAGAGAGTGAGGATGACAGTAGCAGTGAGAATCCAGGTGAGGATGAAAATGTTAAGTACCCATCATTTATCATGCCTAAGAAGTTCAATGACTATAAGTGGATTTTGGGAACCTTATTCTCAACAAAGGACGAGTTCAAGGAAGCTATTGCTAGTTATGTTGTTCATAATGGAAGGGATTTAAGGTACTTGAAGAATGACAAGACTAAGGTTAGAGTTGGTTGCAAGGAAGGTTGTCCATGGGTGGCCTTATGTTCCAAATTACCTAATGCAGATACTTGGAAATTGAGAACACTAAATGACATTCACACTTGTAATAGGGGGTTTAATGTTAGAATGTTTAATTCTAATTGGCTTGGGAAGAAATTGTACAGCACAGTTAGGATCAACCCTAATGTTAAGTTGACTGCTATATGTGAAAAGGTACATGAGAAATGGAATACTGGTATGCGTAGGATGAAGGCTTATAGAGCACAGAAGACAGCACTGAATATTATTGAAGGGTCATTCAAGGAGAAATTTTTAAGGTTGTATGACTATGCACATGAGGTATTGAGGTCAAATCCCAACAACACCATCAAGTTAAATGTCCAAGCAAATGAACAACAACAATCTGAACTTGAACAACAACCTGAAGAATATGTTAGTAGACCGTTACTACCAAGTGTTCATAGATTTTATATATGCCTTGATGCTTGCATGAAGAGTTTTGCAGTTTGCAGACCAATAATTGGAGTTGATGGATGTTTTCTAAAAGGCGTTTATGGAGGCCAAATCCTTGCAGCATTAGGAAGAGACCCTAATGATCAAATGTTGCCTATTGCAGTGGCTATAGTTAAAGCAGAGACTAAAGATTCCTAGGCATGGTTCTTTGATCTGCTAGTTCGTGACTTGGGTGGGCCAAATGTTTGTAAAAATGTAACATTTATTTCAGATTAGTAGAAGGTAACATTCAGTTTTTTACTTTGTTACATATATGTCCTGCATGATTTTAATTTGTAGCATAAACATGTGACATTCAGGTCCTTCATGGTTTTAAAATGTCACAATGTAGTCCTTCATGATTTTAAAATGTTACAATATTGTCCTTCATGATTTTAAATTGTACCATATATGTCATGTGTGCATTGTAACAAACTGTGTTTCATTTATGATTATGGGTTGTTACCTGCAATAGATGAGTTGTTACCTAAAGTTGACAAGAGATTTTGTGTTAGACACCTTTATAGCAACTTCAAAAAAAGGTTTCTAGGAAAACATTTGAAGGAATTGATGTGGAGGGCAGCCAAGGCAACATATCCTCAAGCATGGGAAAGGGAGATGAAGAAAATGAGGAAGGTTAATGAGGAGGCATTCAAACACTTGTGGAAGATTCTTCCAAGATATTGGAGTAAGTCTATGTTCAAATACAATATAAAAAGTGATGTGTTAGTGAACAATATGTCTGAAACTTTTAACAGTGTTATAATTGGACCAAGACAAAAGTCAATTGTAACAATGATGGAGGAGATTAGAGGGTACCTCATGGATAGATGGGCAACTAATAGAACCAAGATTGAAGAGTATACAGATTTTGTTCTTCCAAGAATTAAAAAAGTGTTTGAAAGAAGGCAAGAGTTGTCTAGGTTTTTTATACCAAGGTACATAAAAATTTACAAGTTAGCCATTACTAGAGCCTATTCTTTTAATTTTACTAACAATAACTCAATGAATTGAATTTGTTTCAAAGGTTGTCATGTAACATGATTTATAAACTGAGGCATAAAAGTTTGACTGGTGAAAAATTTACATTTGACCTCAGAAGGTTGGAGTGCTCTTGTAGGAGTTGGATGCTAACTAGCATACCATGCTATCATGCGTAGTAGATCTCTAAACCCACCAGACTACATCCCTGCACGTTACAGGCCCAAACTGCAACAAGTGTCCACACTGACCAATCTCAAACTGTTCAATCCCAAACAACCACTTCAGTCCTAACTGTCCAATCCCAACCAACCCAAGGAGTTCAAGCTACACAATCCCAAACAACCCCTCAAGTACAAATTGTCCAATCCCAACCAACCCAAAGAGTTCAAACTAGACAATCCCAAACAATCGCTCTAGTTCCAACTGTTCAATCTCAACCAACCCAAAGAGTTCAAAATAGACTGTCAACATCATCTTCTAGAATCTAGACACAACAATCCATCTCAGTGTCACAGTTGCTTGCTATGAGAAGAGGAAGACAGGCTGGTACAACATCATTTCAACCACTGACAACAATGAGACCAAAGTTGGCTATTAGGAGAAAGACCAAATAGATTATCTTTTTAGCTATAACAATGTTATGTTCTGTTAAGTTGTAAAACAATCTTACGTAATGTTTTGGGATCTGTTTGATCCATAACAATCTCATGTATTGTTTTGGAATCTGATCTATTGACATCTATTTTGGTTTTTAACATTATAAAAATTATTTGGGTATGATTAGTTAATGTAATGTTTGGTATTCTGTCCTATAATTGTTTAAGGTTCTGAATATTAATTATTGTTTAAGGTTGAGTTTCATAAATGTTTGAGTTTCATAAATGTTTGAGTTTCAAATTTGTTTGAGGTTCACAATTGTGTAAAACAATATGTCTGATATATTTTAATATGTAACAAATAGGTCCTTCATTTTTTAAATTTGTAACAATCATGCCCATCATGTTTTTAATTGGTAACACTTGAGTCACATATATTTTTAAAATGTAACAAAGAAGTCCTTCCAATTTTTTTGTTGTACAAATTATACCATAACTGTGACAGATGTGGTACAGAATTGCATAATTATAAAACAAATTCTTAAGACTCATTTTGACTGGTCTACATGGTAAAACTTATATGTCTACAAGTTATACTATAATTGTGGTATAGAATTATAGAATTGCAACACATAATCGTTTCATTAACCAAACCATTGTCAAGAATTTCTACACAAAAGTACTACAACTCATAACTTACAATGATAATTAACAATGATTTCCACTTTTAAACTAAATTACACATAACACGACAAAGATCAAAACTAACAACGTAGTGACATAACCTATCATATTCAACATCTTCAACAAGTTCTCCTTAATCTCCTTAGTGTATTTCTCATCCTTTTCAATCAAAACTTCTAAGCAACTTGATTTCAACATCCTTGGCCTCACATTCGGAACATTTTGAAATTTGTGAGGGTTGTATCTCTTGTTTGACTTCATCACTGTAATGGTTCACATACCACGCAAAAAACTTGCAACCGAAATTTTCGTCTTCACTCGGTTAACATTAACACACAAAAAAACAAAAACTAATTACATCTGCATAAACCAAATCCACAGCCACTAATGTTTAATAACAGACGTACCACAAATTATTTGCATCCCCAAAATATCTTCCCCAAGTTTCTTCCTTTCTTATTAACGGTTGTCAACACTGCTTTGGCACCACACAGACATGTCAGTTCGGTTCCAGTTTGGGATGCACTCGATATGAATGTATTAGCGTTTGAACATCTTTGATTTTGTCCACTGCTACCATACGACGCCATTGATAGAGTAATGGGACTTAGGGTTCAAATTATGTGATTAGTGATTTGGGGATTTAGGAATTTGCTTTTCAGAAATCTAAGAAAGAAGGTCATAGATGTCAATTCAACAACCATCCATGACACTTTATCAATGCTAACTGCCACTTCATCACCGTCTGTGCCACATAGGTTTTTTTGAAACTGAGAATCTAAAAAAGGTTAATGATGCAAACGTTTCGTAACATAAATGACCCAACTGTTACAAAAAAAACTTAAAGGACTAACTTGTTATTTTAAAATAACTTAAAGGACCTAGACAATATTTTTGCCATGATTTTTTTATGGTCGAATTTGGATAAATTGGAAGTAAAATTGGAGCTTTGGAGGTGCTCCAATGGCAGGAAAATGCATTATATATTCTCCCCAAGGGTGACGGGCATCCCGTCAGCACTCTTTGGAAAGATGATGCATGTCAGCTGAGTGACAGGTAGATCGTCGGGTCTATTATAAGGGTTACGAGCGAGATAAGTAAGTAACATGTGAGGGGTGGAGATGAGGGGCAGGTTGTAATCTCCATGACGAACGTCATGGCCTGGAGGCAGACCGTCATGGTTTAGGCAGTCAAACTTGACTCGACAATTCATATTTTCTCGTAACTTATGAATCTGATTATTGTTTGGTTTTGTTTATGATGTATTCGAAGATTGGTGATTTAATCTGATGTGTTTTGAATGTTATCGAACACGTAATAAATAATTGTAGATATGCATTGGTGAATTGAATCAGTGATTATTGGTGAATTATTGTGCATAATGTTGATATGTGATGTATAATTGATACTTGTGATTGTATTAATATGGTGAGTAATGGTCTTTATAGTAAAATTGATGAGTTTTTTTCATTTAGGACTTTTCTAATGGTTTTTATAGTGAAATTTACTTGTTTTTCAACTTTAAACTTTTGTTATGGTTTTTAAAGAGAAATTGTTATGTTTTTTTTATTTGAACTTTTATAATGTATAGTGAAATTAGTGAGTTTTTTCAATTTGAACTTTTTGCATGGTTTATAGAGAAAAGTTTGTGAGTTTTTAACTTTGAACTTCTTCTATGGTTTTTATAGTAAAATTGATGAGTTTTTTAACTTGAATTTTGTTATGGTGTTTACAGTGAAATTATTGAATTTTTAACTTGAAACTTTTGAAATGGGTTATATAGTGAAATTAATGAATTTTTAAACTTGGAATTCTTGTAATGGTCATTATAGTGAAATCATCATTTTTCTCAAATACTTTCGTATCGATATAACGCTTTCTGATTCTTCTTCCTCATTTCACGTTGCACATTTCTTTGCGCTTTTGTTGCATCTTCTGCAACTGACATGTTACTATCATTAATGAGGTCAAGAACATTTTGAGTTCCAAACAACACACGCATCTGAACCAACCGCCAATTTTAATTCTTTCTGTCGAAAACGGTAAGCTTTGTGTTCAAGTCACCGTTTTTGACATTCATCTTTGTTCATGTGCAAATCACTCAGTTCTCACCAACACTGATAATCAAGACATGTGATTCTCTTTGATTTCAAACTTCTATTCAATGCGATTTTCAGAAACGGAATCAATCACACACCTCACTACACTCGTGTTTCCCTGTGAATCGAACCAGAGCTCTGAATACTAATTGTTGAAGTTCAACAATGAACCTCCCCATTAAAAATACACAAGAATGAAGAAGATGAAAAGAGAAAGAGAGAAATAGAGAGAGATATAGGGAGAGAATTGTAACTAACTTTCATTAGAGTTTTAAATGAAAGTCAAATTTAAACGAAACCTCAAATGAAATACAAAGCCAAACTCAAAACTAAATGCAAAAGAAATTATTCTTGGATGAATTACATTTAATATGTACAACCATCATACAAACTTGTCTTACTACTCCTAGCAATGTGTATTTTTTTTTTTTTCATATGAAGATTAATCTAACTTGGTGTGTCGATTTACATTGGTTTTTCCCCAGTCTAAACCGTTGAGAAAAATATTACGCTGGGAATTCTCATAAATTAAAGGTACATGTTGTATAGTATTTGATTGATGCAGTGAAATCTGTATTGTTGCGATGATCAGCTGGCTTTCAGTTGCAATGCCTAACCTTGGTACTATTGATTTTCTTGAGTGGTGGAGGTGAAAACTTTATTACCAAAATTGACCTGTTTACATTTATATTTGAGGAATATTCTCTTAATGTTTCCTCCTTTGTTGTATCTTAGGCATTTACTCCGCTAATTCCCCCCTAGTGATTGAACAACAAAATTCTTAGAGTCTAAAACCAAAAGCATATATATACACAAATAAAGGAATGGAAACAAATAATAACAACTAATAACTCAATGAATTCAACATATTATAGCATAGATAATAATATAAACAGATGAAACAAAAAAGAAAAACCAATCCTTTCTCTTTGGATTGCCCCTTCATTCTCTACACCCTAACTCTAAACCAGTGAATTTCATACCCCTTTCTAGCATTCACAATGCTCAAAAACAAAAGAAAAGAACACTTGTTACTTGTTAGCACCTATGGAATATCTTCAATGATGATCATAAAAACTATGGAAAATCTATCTTCAAGCAAAAACAAAGCCACAAGAGAGTGCCATTAAACACACAGCAGCTTCTTCCTCTTCACCTAACTTAATCCTCTTTTCTTTCTTCAAAACAGAATGCAAGAAAACCTCTTCACCTAAAGCCACTAACTTCATTCTCAAAAACTCACTCCAATCATCTTCTGATTTCTCTCTCTTCCTTTCCTTTTCTTGTCCTTTCTTACAGCAACCTCTTCTCTTTCTGTACCTAATTCCACAAGCGTTGCACAACGTCTACATCATCCCAAAAAAAACAAAAACAAAAATCATAAATTATATTTCTATCAACAACATTAAACAAATTTGAAATGGGGGGTAAAGTATAATACAATACTTTGGGTCCATTTGGTCCTCCTCTCCAAAGTGGGGTCTTTGTGGTTTTGCAATCAGCACAACATTTCTTGATCACACCCATTTCATCATATGAACAACATTCCTGTTAAATATTAAAAAAAAAAAACATGTTTACCATTTTCAACAACAATAACGTTAGTAGAAGTAGCTACTAACTACCTAGTACCTAGCTCAGCATGATTCAAGAAAAAAATATTTCATTATACCTTGTTCATTTGATCCATGATTCCCATTGACGAAACAATGATGGATTCAATTAAATATGAACGAAACGGTAGTAACCGAATCACCGAAACTAGTGGTGTTGCAAAAAAAAGAGAGAGAGAGAGAGAGAGAGAGAGAGAGAGAGAGAGAGAGAGAAAATGGATATAAACGAATGCACACACTGAGCAACCGACTAAGGTGGAAATACCTCAAGAGAATCCTAAGAATGCTTTACAATGACCGATATACCCTTCTTTGTTTCCAAAACTATAGTGGCAACTTTGTAAGTTTTGGATTTTAGATACGCCACGTGTCTACATGACGTGTATACCTCTTCTGCAACAGAATTATAAGTGGAAATGGAAATTTCAAGATCCCAACTGAATTATAATTAGTCATTTATGTGATATTCTAAATGATTATGATGAAAAAATGAATTCAACGATATGATTAGTTTAACATGTGTTTTTAATTGGTTGGCTTTATTTCATTAAAGTAGTAACAAATTAAGCTAAACCAGGTCTTAAAGAGGATGTTTTGCATTGGGTAAATATGAGAAAGATGAGGTTGGAATGATTATGTGGGACTGATTAATCATAAAAGCTGGGATGGGGCGAGAGAATTTATTTTATTTGATACTGTTATCAATATCAATTTTGGGTTTGGAATGAAAATAGAGGCAAATTTGTATATACATGAAAAATGCACGGTCGTATTAAAGTAGCTGGATAGCTAGACACGGTGGTAGTATGATAATGGTACTCACGTTATACGAATGTTAGTTCATTTCTGATATACCACCGTGACAAACGAAAGGAGAATCCATTTTTAATACAATTCAAGTAAAGTTAGGTAAACGATGTATTTAATACACTAGTGCTAACGATCAAAACTAACTAATGAGCTCATCAGCCTAAATTTGCCTCGTATATGAAAAATAAATTAAGGTAAATAGCATTTTCAACGCATTACATTTTAAAATTAAAATAGAAGTAAAATTTTTAGTTTAATCATGTATATACCCAAACAGGGCAATCTTAAAAAGAGATAAAGCGATCCGAGGTTACATTTTTTATCATTTGATCAATAATCAATAAAATAAAATTAATCATTTTAATACCGTTGAATAATAATGCAAAAATTGCTGCACACTATTTTGGCAAGACATTTTTCAAAACCAAATACTGAACCTGAACCGGGACTGTATTGAAGAAAGAATAGTATCATTTGATATTTGACAAAATAGCCAGAATCATAAGTGGTACTTAATGACTCAAATCTATGCAGGAAAAATAACGAAATTTAGCAAGAAATTCTATAGAAGAGCCAAATCACTTGGCCAAAAACAATCTCTAATATTTAATTAGGAAGTGACAAGAAAATCAAGGCACAACCCAACTGGTCCCCCTGATGTATGTAAAACCAGCCATTTCAAAAACCCAAGCCGGTCCAGTAACAGCCTATTTACCAAGGCTGGACCTTAAAGAACCAAGGACAATGAAACGAAACTGACTTGACCCTCAACTGTTGAACTGAACCACCATAATGGAGGACTTCACTGATGGACTGGCCGACATCCTGCAGTTATAAGAATGTAAACAGATAAGAATACAAACAGATAAGAATGCAAACTTCCTAAACTTGGTACATGTAAGGAATCGTGGTGGGTTCACAATCATGGTGGCATCGTGATTTTTTGAAGCTCCGTGTAGCTTTTGCAAAATCAGAGTGGCATGTTTGTGGTTTTGTCACATTCACCTTGAGTCCAAACATGCACTCAGTTTTCTAGTTGCTGTGAAGAGTTTGCACCATAAAAAATGCCAAATATAACATAATGGTACCTTAATAAAACATGAATAACTTCTAGTTGAAGTTGAATCCACCAGTAGGCACGGAAGGAACTTCGGAGCCACCAAAGTTGAACCCTTCCCCTGTAGGCATGGTCTCATCATCTTCCTCCAACCAGTATGTCTCGAGAATCTTCACAGCCTTTTCATAAATCTCAGTGTTGTCATGACTCTGGAGGTTCTCAATTTTCTCCAAACCCTCGGCGTCATCAATCATTTGGGCAAACAGATTCACACCATCAGTGTTGCCAATATTTTTATCAGCCTCGCCTACCTTTAAGATGTTTTCAAGCCCTTCAAGACAAACAGTCACGATCCTAGGATCAGGACATATGAGAAGATCACACAGAGGCCTAATACACCCTTGATTTACCAAGATCCTGACAACAAAGGAAAAGTAATTTATGATATCTTGAAACAAAAAAGTATTAAAACCAACAAAAATACTGAGGAACATTGCAAAGATAAGGATCTCCCCATACTTGAGTTGTTCATGAGATCCACCCGATGTAGCATTAGAGACGGCCCATGCAGCTTCCTTCTTGATATCAAACTCAGCATTTTGAAGCAAGGTGACCAAAGGAGGAATTATATTGGCATCAATTACGGCCTGTGAATATTCAAAAATAGAGAGAAATATATTTCAAGTCTTCCAAAAGCAAAGGCAACACGTCAAAATTTCATTATCACAAATGAGCAAACCTGAATCTGTTGTGTATTCCCAGCTGTGATATTGGATAATGTCCAACATGCTTCTTTCTTGATGCTTTTTTTATAAGTATTAGCCAAGAGATTCATAAGACGGGGAAGAACTTGATGGTCGATGATGACCTGGGCAGAAAAGAACCACATTACCACAAACCGATTAACAAAAGTAAAATAATAATCAAGGAAGTGACTCATGATGGCAATATATCAAACTCCAATGCTGTTAGTTGTGAGGAAGAAAGAGATATGGAGTGTAAAACAATATATGCATGGTTGCAAGGTATGAGAGAAGATTTGTGCAGTGGAGTGATAAAGAAACTGTGAAGGAGGAGGAGATGGTGGCAAATAGTGGCAAGGCAAAAACATAATGATTAAATTGTTTATCGCTTACTACTTCTGCCGTTTTGGAAATTTTTTACTTGTTAATCAATTTTTCCTTTTGTACAGGAGGTTTCCTCCATGAATTTGACTTTAATTTCAGTATAAAAATAACCAGTTCCCGTGTGTATTACTATTTCCTTTAGTGCAGAACCACTAACAAAGACCTTTGAGAAATTCTTGAACTTAATACCTGTGTCTGCATGTCATCTCCAGTGACAATATTTCCAACTGTACGGAGAGCAGGAATAAGCACAGACGGAGCTGGGTGCCTGAACAAGGGCGGGACAATATTTAGAACTTAATATCATAGTAACAAAGGGAAGCTACATTGAACAGCAATATTGGATATTCAGAATACTCACTGAAGAAGCTCAACAAGCCGGCTACAAACACCAGCTTCAATTACGCCTTGAATTTTATCATTTGTGCCATCAGAAAGATATGAAAGTGCCCAACAGGCATCAGTCAAGACTTCTTCATCATTAGAATGGATGAGACTGGCAAGTGCAGGAAGCGCAGGCTTAACCTGTAAGTAGACAGAATCGGAAGATAACATAATCATAAGAATCAGTCATCAATAGATACTCATTAAAATCACATAATCAACAAGCAAACAAAGCTCAAAAAATAAACTATGGATCCAACAAATAGCTCAGCAAGTGTGAAATACATGTTAAATAATAAGGCCTTCACATAAAAACCATATATTTAACCAACTATAATTAGCATGTGTTGTTAAATAGCCGTTAGAGTATAATGGAATTTGAACAAACAGCTACTGTTTCGCAATACACTATTTAGTATAAAATGTTTTCACATAGTCCCCATAGCGACACTATTGCATTGCACAGCAGAACTTTAACAATCTCCACAATTGACAACACAGAGCTGCACACTGTAATTTCATAATTTTTCAATATAAACATTGGAAGACACTAAGCAATTTAATGATTTTTCAACATACAAAGGTATTGACGAAAGCAGACATTAAGCAATTTAACAATTTTTCAACATACAAAGGTGTTGGTGAAAGCAGCCATAGCAACAAAAAAATTCAAACAAATGGAGAAAGTAGAAGAGAGTCATTTCATAACTGCAGATTATGTAAAGAACAAAATATGAAGGTACTAAAGATCATTGTTAGAACTCTAGGTGTTGGGTATATAAGCCCATTTGTGTATATGTATAAAGAGCCGTGTAATCACTCATCTAAGTAGGTAAAGAATCTTATTTTAGAAATATTATGCATAACTTTAAACCTGATCAAAACTAGGCTGTGGCTTCCCCCGGCAAAAGTTTGAGAGTGTCCAAGTAGCGTTTCTGAGCATGGAAAGTTTGGCATGCTCATTTAATTGAGCCAACAGAGGAAGCAAAGCCCCATGACCGAGAACAAGATCGCGGCACCTAGGTGAATCTCCAGCAACATTTCCTAATGCCCACACAGCCTGACAATAAACAAAAATACGGCAAAGATGTTAAACTTCAGGTGAGATATATCACACTAGATTGTCCAAGAAATAATAAAACTCGGAACACTTGCATTCAACTCAACCTCACTGGTATGCACAAAAACACATTCAAACATAACACTTAGAATCTAGAAACAGGAGCTTCACATAAGGTGTATATAATCATACCTGTTCACGGACATCATCACTAGGAGAAGCAAGGAGCTTCACAAAAATTGGGATAGCACCGCTATCAATTACTACCTTAGTATTATCAGATGTTCCAGAAGCTATATTTGTCAAAGCCCAAGCAGCCTCAAACTACAACATATAGTAAACAAATTCAACACAGTGTACACGATGTAAATATTTATTGCATAAAATAAAAAAAAAGGAAGATAAACAACCTGCAGCTGTGGAAAATCCTCCCTCGTCAAGAACTCAACAAAGCGCGGAACAACACCAGCTTGTATAACCTCCTCAATCGGTGGGCTACGTTCTGATCAGACATACAAATTGTTAACCAAATATCTCTTATCAAATAGTAGATAAGAAATTAACATAAGAAAAAAAAGTGTACATAGAACAATATCTAACCAATTGAAAGCAACTTTCGAAACTGAGTTGTTGCCTCAAACTGCATGTTGTTATCATCAGTCCAAATTCCTGTAACCAAGGCTGGTAGGTGTTCCAACTGCAGAAAGATAGACATACATACACATGAAACAACAGTACAGTACAATTCACCGCTGTTTAGGTTCATTTAATCTAACAATAATACTAACCAAAGGGGAACTGCATTAACACTCACACCCCCTTTAGTTTTCAAAATGCATGTACCTCCCTCGCAAACACTAAAAAAGTGTGCTTAACATTTTGTTTCCATCACAGTCTATCATTCACCAAAAAATCACTAGACTGCGCACTCTGGTTGTGCCACTAGGAACATATACATACCTTTCACCTACCAAATTGCTCATACTAGATGTATGATTGTACACCTAGAAATTACAGTGAAACTCTAATTCCTTACATCATAATTACAGAATATTCCTTTACAAAATAAACAAATCGAAATCCCAAATGAAACAAAAAGATAAACTGAAAAAACCAGAGTCACGATAATGCAATTAACCAAATCACCAATCCAACATATGATTACTTTTCAATCAGTGAAACAATTCAAAACGAAACAGAAATCGAAGTAATTAATCAACTACTGAAACAAATAGATAATCGGAAGGAACAATAACAAGAAAGATCGCGATTCACGAGCATTTAAACCTTTTTCTCTAGTAGACTAGATTGAACTGACGCAGGCATCTGCTGATTCTGAAGTCCCTCACGCCTCTTCTTCTGCAAGCTTTCCTCCCTGCGATTCTTCCGGATCTCAACCAAGTTATCCTCCCGCCGTCTGCGACCTTCTTCAGCATCAACGGCGACCTTGTAGCGGTTGCGACGGACCTCGGTCCTCGCGTTTGCGGTGGGACGGTACGACATCGTTTAAATATCGGAGGAATTTGCGGTTAATCGGATTAGGGATTGAGAAATTGAACGTAGCGAAGGGAATTTAACTTCCAGATAGAGAATTTGAGAGAGGCGAAAGGAAAAGTAGCAAGTGAGGGAGGGTTTGGGTTTTTGAGGAGTTTGAAAAGTGAGGAATGAAGAGGGGTTTATATAGTGAGGTTGAAAAGTGGAGTCGGGGAGGAAAATGGACTTGGATCGGGTTAGAATTGCGGAAATGCCACTAGTTTGAATTTGAAGATGAGGGAAAAAGTTACCTTATTGGAGAAAATCTTGATTTTAAGTTTTAATCTTATTTTTATTCTTAAATTTACTATTATTATTCTTAAATTTAATATTATTATTTAGTTTCATTTGTTTTTGATCTACCTATTGGTTAATATTTTTTGTTTAATATTTTTAATTATTATTACATTATTTGAATTTATATCAATAATTAATTTAATTCCTTCTTTTACAACACACAATATTTTCTTATACTTATCAATTCAATTTTTTAATTTTAATCATATCTATTTTTATAATTTTACCATTGTTTTTTTCAATTTGATTAATAATTATGCGTCTATAATATAAAATTTTCGAACGCACGGGTTAGTTACTAGTATTGAAGAAAAATATAGGTCACTCTTTTCTCGGAGACTTGAAAACGGAACAAGTGAATGAGACTTTTTTTTTTTTTTAATTTTCTCTTTTGACTAATGCTTTTGAACGTTGCCACTTTTCATCTATGAATGGTGGAGTCCCAATTTCTAAGGGCACATGGTTCTCTTCTTCTTCCTCTTTCAAATATTCTTATAAGGATGGTATGGTGTAGACAAATTTAGTTTGGTATTAAGCTACTACATGTAATCTAAAAAAGGTATCAAATAAAATAATGATAATATATCTATACTAAAATAAAATCTTGTGTATAGTAAAAGTCCATTTGTGGTGGTTTAACATTACATTCAATAATATCATTTTAATTTCTAGAACAAGTATCTAGATTATATAAAATATTTGTTTTTGGAACGTTGTCGTTTTTATTTACGAACAATTTTTTCTTAAAATAGAACAATAGACACATGGCTAATTTCTAAGTTATTTTTTTTATTTTAAAAGTGTGTTTGAGAGTTTTGAAGAAAAAATAGGAGATGACTTTTAATAGAGGAATGATTCAGTAAAAAGAATTAAAAGACTTTAGTTATGAGGATTTTTTTAGGGTTATTCATAATACTAAAAACATCTAATTTGAGAAATTCAAAATTTATATTGAAAAAGGTATTTAGAGGGTTTTGGAGGAATTGTATAAAATTTTCAAATATATATTATGATGTTATAATATTTTGAAAATTAAAGATATTGTGAGATATTGGGTCGAATTTTAATATGGTCGAAGGGTAGTTTCTTGGTTCGACAGTTGAAAAGAATCTTAGCGTATTATCGAAGTCTACTCACATGTTGTAGTCGAAGTATGCTATGAGTGTTGTTAGCATGTCGAATTGGGCTTTTGTTGTAAGCACAATTGTTAAGTTAGCTTGTGTAATGGGCATGTGTGTAAAAGCTCATTGGTTAGTATGTTAGTTTTCTTATAAATAACATGTTAGTTTTCTTAATTAAAGAAGGGCATCTGAAACATTATACTCGGAGGGGTGAAACCCCCTGACCTGAGACATGCGAGTCTAAGAGGGTCGAGGAAGCGCCAATTCCTTCCGAGGAAGCGGGAATGTAGGTGGCCCTGTGCGTCTCCCGACCAAAAGATTTCCTCCCCTTTAGCGAGTCTACCGGACCATTGTCCGCCCACAGCCCGTGGAAGGATTTCCCCGCCACACTGGTGATATCCGGTGGAGGGCCCAACAAGCTATCAGTCGGGTCGATCAAGAGGAAGTTCGAGGAACTCATCGACAAAAGCTCGAAGACGAACGCTACCCTCGACAAGTTCAAAGGGCAATCAAACCTGATCACCTTTTACCTCGAGGAACTTCCCAGGGGGCACCTAACTCCAGCATTCCCCTCCTGATCAGAGCTCAAATGGCAAACTTCGATGTCCGCCGAATCTTAGTCGACCAAGGAAGTTCAGTGGACATAATGTATGTCCACCTGTTCACGACCCTGCAGCTCGACGAGAGTCATTTGACTTCATATGTGGGCTCTGACCTCCAAGGCTTAAAGGGCACCACCACTAAGCCTTGGGGATACGTATAACTACTTGTCACCTTCGGGGCCGAGGAGATAGCCCGACAGGTGAAAGTCCGTTTTCTGGTAATTGAATGCCCTTCCTTGTACTAGTACATCCTGAGATGGCCAACTTTGGCCGAGCTGACCACGGTACCATCGACAGTCCAGCTGAAAATGAAATAATACACAACCAGAGGGTGGGTCGTCACCCTCCACTAGGACATAGAGGCGACCAGAAGATGCTTCGAGACGACACTCAAAGAACTCAGCTCCATCAACGTTCCCCCCTAAATCGGTCGACAAACCAGCCCAAACGGAAGAGCCGAAACCCCTCCCGCACGTCAACTTTGTCGACCTCGACAGTCGTTTCCCCGGTAAGTAGAGACAAGATGAATGTTCCGAAGACACGATTCCAGCGGATAATGGGCAGCTCTCTCGCCTGACACACCTCATTCTAGATGGAGACTTCGAACTCATCACGTTAGGAGACGATCCCAAAAGAAGCGTGAAGGTCGGCACATGCCTCCCCGACTTAGCAAGAAAACAGCTCAAGGCCTGCCTCCGGGAGAATGCTGACCTCTTCGCATGGAGCACTGCTGAAATTGCCCGGGCTCCACCCCGATGTAGCTTGCCACCGCCTCTTCATAGATCCGGTCGCTAGGGTCATAGTTCAACGTAGGCGTAGGCAGTCTCTCGAGAAAGCGCAGGCTGCTGAAAAAGCTGCAAAAGACCTCACAGAGGCAAACTTTATATCGGAAGCCCAGTACATGACCTATCTGTGCAATGTTGTACTAGTTAAGAAACACAATGGAAAATGAAGAATGTGTGTTGACTATACCGATCTCAACCAGGCATGTCCCAAAGATGCTTACCCATTACCTAACATTGACAAACTCGTCAACAATTCTGCAGGTTTTAAATTGTTGTCATTCATGGACGCGTACTCGGGATACAATCAGATCCCCATGGCGAAGGCCGACAAGCAATACACGGCCTTCATTACCGAGTCAGGAAATTACTACTACAACATAATGCCCTGCGGTCTGAAAAATGTTGAGGCGACCTACCAAAGGATGATGAATAAGGTCTTCTAAGGAGAAGTCGGAGACATGCTCGAAGTTTACATGGACGACATGATCGTGAAGTCACGAGAAGAGGTAGACCATACCGCCCATCTCAAGAAGGTCTTCGAAACGGCGAGGAATTGTAGGATGAGGTTCAACCCTGAAAAGTGCACCTTCGGCGTACGAGCAGGTAAGTTCCTTGGTTTCTATCTATTAAAACGAGGAATAGAAGTCAACCCGAACAAGTGTAGGGCCTTCTCCAAGTTTTCCACCCCGAACACAAAGATTGGTGGCGGATCACTTGTCTCGTCTTGTGAATAATGAAGTCACGAAACATGAGCAGGAGGTGAAGGAAAAGTTTCTTGATGAAAATTTGTATATGGTGAAAGTTAAACCTTGGTTTGCCGACACGGCTAACCACAAAGCTGCCAGATTAACTCCAGAAGGTCTAACTAGTAAGAGGGAAAAAAATTGTCTAACGTCAAGTATTTTGTTTGGGATGAACCTCATTTGTTCAAACTTGGTGTCGACAACATTTAAAGAAGATGTGTATCTCATGAGGAAGCCAAATATATCCTTTGGTATTGTTATAACTCTTCATATAGAGGTCATTTTAACGATACGAGAACGACAATAAAAGTATTCCAATTGGCCTTTTATTAGTCGTCGTTATTCAAAGATGTGCATGCGCACACCAAAAGTTGTGATAAATGCCAGAGGATTGGTGGAATTTCGCAACAGAATGAAATTCCTTTGCAAAACATGTTAGAAGTCGAGGTTTTCGTTTGTTGGGGTGTTGTATTTTTGGTCTATTTCCACAGTCTTTTGGAAATGAGTACATTCTGGTTGTGGTTGACTACATCCCAAAGTGAGTTGAAGCCATAGCAAGCGCTAAGGCAGACGAGAAAACCGTGATAAAATTTTTGAAAAAAATATTTTTTTCTCGATGATACTCTGAGAGTGTTAACAAGTGACGGAGGATCCCACTTTTGTAACACTCAGTTAGCGAAAGCTTTGGAGCAGTATGGTGTGAGGCACAAAGTTGCAATACCATACCATCCACAAGCTAACGGATGGGCCAAAGTATCAAATCGAGAAATTAAAAAAAAAATGGAAAAAACTGTGTCCGCTTCTAGGAAGGATTGATCAAGCAAGCTTGACGATACTTTGTAGGCCTATCGAATGGCTTTCAAGGATCCGATTGGCCTCACCCCTTTCAAAATGGTCTACGGAAAAAACTGTCACCTGCCGGTTGAGTTGGAGCACAAAGCCTTTTGGGTATTAAAGTTGCTACATTTTGATCAAAACTTAAGTGGCGACAAAAGAAAAAGCCAACTTAATGAGTTGGAGGAAATGCGCCTACAAGCATACGAATCCAATAAAATTTACAAGGATCAGGTGAAGGTTTACCATGACAAGAAGATTGTGTCTAAGAAGTTTGAGGAAGGACAAATGGTGTTACTTTTCAACTTTAGGTTGAGATTGTTTTCAGGGAAGCTAAAGTCTAAGTGGTCGGGTCCGTTTCGGATTCGTAACATTATGAGCTATGGAGCAATCACTATCGAGGATATGAAGACCAAAGAGAGTTGGAAAATAAACGACTAAAGATTGAAGATTTACTTGGGTGGTGATTTCGAGTGGGACACCGCCTCTGTGCCCTTCTGCGATTCGTGATCGCATTGGACCATCGAGCTAAAACGACGTTAAACTAAACGCTTGTTGGGAAGCACCCCAACATTGTAAGTATCTCTT